TTCTAGAATAATTAAAACCCTTTTAAGTGCAATGTGGCACTTCTTTGGTGCATCTTAATTATGACATGTATATAAACTTGTGAATAGTGTTTACACATTACTTGTGACAATTTCTTGTATTCTGTAAAAGTCATGAAGCAAAATTTGTTGACCTTCTTTCTTAATGAAATAAAAATTTATTCCTGGCTTTGAATTCGTGCTTGTGTGATTAAGTTTTTTGTAAGTAAAACAGTATATTATACAATATGTTACAGGATTTGACCGATCGTTGTGGTAATATATCGTCTTATGCCTATGAATCGTCCTGGGAAGCCAAGGCAGTAGCTGTAATACACTGTATTAAAGATCTGGATGTAAGTACTTGCTGGCAATGCATCATGTTACCTGAATACCTGTAATATTGGAGATACAATGTAGTTCTCAGCCACATTGCATGTCTTGTCTACTCAGTAGCAATGAATAGGAGAGTACTTTCTGTGATTTATACCAAATCCATGGCAAACCTAGTTGGCAGCAATGCTTACATTCTGAGGAGACATACTTGTAAATAGATGTCGGTACTGTGTTGGTTCCAGACTCTACAAAACAGGGGATTTTGTCTTGCCCCTTATGTCTCCAACATCTTCTCATGAACTTGCTTGTTGGTTTAGAAAAACAATTTTCAGTCACACTTACTATGACCTTTCCTAACTTTTCTTGATATTTTGTTGGTTTACTTATTTCTCCGATTGGGGTTCCCTTCTATTCAATTGAAGATTGAATACCCCCCCCCCCTTCGTAGTGTTTCAATGTACTTTTCTGAATCAATATATGGCGGCCATTACTGGGGGTATTTGCTGAACTGGGTCAAATGTCAAACTTTTACAGAGGCTTTAGTTCAAGATTGGCGATGTATACTATTGATGAAATATTGTCTGTTCTATTAGTATCACATTCTCTTTATGATCTGGGTGGTCTGTGGTCAAAACATTAAGTCATATTTTAATGATCCAGTATACATTAATATTTACTATTGTGCAACGTTTTTTTTTTGAACAGTATTTTTATCAAGCTATATTGTCAATGATGCTGAAAGTTACCGTGCCTTGGAGTGATCTGGTAGAAAATCTTGTCAGAAAGGGTTTGTCTTTTGACCACCCAAGGTATGTCAACACTATTTTTTTCATCACTGTCATGTTTATTACAGGTACCTGACCTGTCATGCTTACGTTGTGTTTATTACCTGACCTGTCATGGTTACGTTGTGTTTATTACCTGACCTGTCATGGTTACGTTGTGTTTATTACCTGACCTGTCATGGTTACATTTATGTTATGTTTACCACTTTGCCTGTCATATTTTCATGTATGAACTTTCCTGTTTATACATTATTTACACACCTGAAATGTGTAATGGGCCATTCCAGTTTATATCTGCACCCCCCTGTTGATGAGTTTGTGTGTTTACTTCATACAGGGTATAATTTTCATGGGTGTATAAGTCATACAAAGATATAAACTGGAATGGCCCAATACCAGTACTGAGTTGTGTCATGTTCAAGACTTAACCAATGTATGTCATGCTCACATCATATTTTAATTCCTGTATTTTTTGTGCAGACATTTCATATTGAATTATCATATTTTACAGGGTTGAACAGCTGAAACAAGTACATGAGTTTGTGAAGTTGCGGACAATTATACTCAAATATGATCTGTATAACTTCAATATATCAAGTGAAACTATGGCTCCGGTATGTTCAAATTTTAGTTCATCAAAATGGTTTAGATGTTTACCCACTTGTATATACCATATTTACATTCACCCCCCCCAATAGATTGTTTTAGTATAATTACACTTGTGCTTTCCTAGTTTACCATTATCAATCTTTGCTTTTGGGGGTTTCCACTAAGTAAAATGATGTCAAATTATACATGTAAGTAAAATGTGTATGGAAATTTCCCAAAATAAATAAACTCTATTTACATCTTTCAGTATCTGTTGAAATACTTCCTGACTAAAGATTTACCATGTGCTATGGAGGATGCACTACAAGTGGTGAAAGTCTACCCAAATATAGTGAAACCTGACGATGTTTATATGTTCAGACTGAGATTTCTTGTACAACAAGAGAGAGTAAGTTGTCTTGTATGGTTTACTTGTTATGCACAGGTTAATAGGGACTTGCTTTCAAAATATGATTTCCATAGTGCCAAAATGGGGTCTTGTATTTTCACCTGTATTTCACACATAAATCCTACATGATGCATGAAATACGCGCGTCGAACGTCTGCCGCAAAAATCAAACGATTTGATTTTGAACTCAAATTTCTTAATTTCGTAGCTCACATCGACCGGTCGATCTTCGACAGAGGAATATTGCTTTCGAATACCCTCACTTAATCGAAATTGTCTATCATCAAATGTGTACAGCACATTATTAAGCATGGAAATATCCCCCCAAATATTTTCGCGTATGTCGAATCCCACGCGATGTTTGACGCCACTACGATGCTATGACCTTTGTTTGTTTTGTTTTTTAAGTTCGATTTCACGCATAACGCGTGATTCTCGCAGTGAACGAGAATGGTCTATTGTTTCATGATCCAATTCAAAATGACCAAATGATGTCAATTTTAAAGCTAAACATTTATTTTGCCATAAAACTTGCTTGTATTTACATGTTTTGATTACATGCAAGTCAGCTTTTGCAGTCTGCTCCTAGACTAGATGTTTTTCTTGTGATTCTCAAAATTTGTAAACAGTGTCTTCTTGTATGTAAACAATTTGAATGTTTTTACTTCCCTTAATCTACAGTAATGTCATGTATGTAAATGTGTCGAAATGGGCGTAGTGCGAGTGGTTAGTGCTAGTAGCACTAATCCGAAAAAGTACTAGATCTAGTGCTAAAATGGCACTAGATCTAGCGCTAAAATGGCACTAGATCTAGTGCTAAAATGTGCACAGTGCGAGTGGCATTGTTATCGCATTGTCAACGACGTCGAATAATAGGAGGGGCATCAACAACCACTTTCATATGCAAACTGCAAACAGTATAAAACATTGGCAATATGCGTGAGATGTCCATAATAATACTTTCTTTATATAATACCGGATTCTGCCGTAAATTCGCCCATCCGAAAAATCGCCCTGGGGATTCACATGAT